CGGGGAGTACTTTCAGTCTCCAGTTCAATTTTTGACCCATTAGGTCTGGTAGCACCAGTCACCGTTGAAGGTAAAATTATGCTGAGAGAGTTAATGAAAAATACTAAGCATGGTAACAAAACCTCCCAAAACTGTTGGGATTCCCCACTTCCTGAAAGATACCTCTCTAAATGGATTGGATGGAAAGATTCCTTATATGAACTACAGAATATACAACTCCCAAGATGTTACCAACCTCCCAACTTTGGTCCAATCAGAAGAAGAGAAATTCATGTGTTCTCAGACGCTAGCGATGTAGCCATTGGAGCAGTAGCTTATCTACGACAGATAAACAATGATGGTGAACCACATGTAGCCTTCCTCAAAGGTAAATCAAAACTGACACCAAAGCATGCAGTCTCCATACCACGGTTGGAACTCTGTGCCGCAGTGTTGGCAACAAATATAGTAGAGAACATCAAAGCAGGAATCGAAAATAGAATGCCGGTGGATAGCATCATGTACTACACAGACAGCAAAGTTGTCCTTGGTTATATTTCTAACGAATCAAAACGGTTTCATGTCTATGTTGCTAACAGAGTACACAGAATTCACAGTGTATCTGATCGAACACAGTGGTGTCATATTGATACGGACCATAACCCTGCAGACATGGCCTCTCGATCTACTAGAGCTGACCGCCTCATGGATACTACGTGGTTCACAGGGCCAGACTTCCTATGGGAAACAAAACTTATAACAACAAACAGACAACTTACTTCAACAGTCAAGGAAATCGACGAAGGTGATCCAGAGGTTCGAAAGCAAATCAAAATCCTTAAAACAGATGCCCAAGCTCACACGCACTTTCAAAACAGATTCTGTCATTTTTCTAGATGGCTTGTCTTACGTAGAGCTATCGCTATCCTAATAACTAGGGCCAGGCACCTTAAACTGAAGACAAATGGAACATTGCATAACAACCGAGCTGACACTAACATTCTTACAATAGACAAACTGAAGGCTGCTGACATTATCATATTCAAGGCTGTACAAGAGACATTTACCGACGAGCAAATTAAGTCACCAAACGGTCCCCTATGTAAACTTAACCCGTTCAAAGATGAAAATGGTATCCTCCGGGTTGGAGGAAGGCTACGAAGGTCCGATCTTGACCTCGGAGGCAGACACCCGATACTACTGCCTAAAGACAACCATGTCTCCAGACTGATTGCCGAATATTTTCATGAACAAGTCCAACACCAAGGCCGTCTGTTAACGGCAGCAGCCTTACGATC